TGGAGAGGAAGCATGTCATTGTGGAGAGAGTGCTGGATTGGAGCATGGAAGCCCTGGGTCCCAGTTCTGCCTCTGACACTTTAAGAGGTAAGCAAGCCACTTAATCTTCCAGAGCCTCAGATTCCTCATCTATTAAATGAGGACAGTAATACCAATAGTGTCTATCTCCCAGGGATGTTGTGACACTCATAATAGACATGTATGTACAACACACACACACACACACACACACACACACACGCACACACACACTTGCTGTTTTTCTCAGTAGTGTTGGTTGCACCAATTGGTTCTATGGCAGAGAAATGGAAGACTTTGGGTTTGGGGTACTTTTTAAACTAGGTACATTTCTATATAGTTATAGCTGAGCTTCCTTGTAAAAAAAAATAATCATAAGAATTCTGTGAGGCATAATAGTGTAAAACACTGTCACTATAAAGGGCCATAATAGCTAGTAGCATTAAGGTTCACAAAGCACTTTACGTATGTTGTCTATTTGATCCTCACAACGACCTGTGAGGATCAAATTATTATTATCTCCATTATTATTATCTCCAATTTACAGATGAGGAAACTAAGACTGAGAGAAATTAAATGACTTGCCCAGCGTCACATGGGTAGAAAATATCTGTGGTAGGATTCAGACCAAGGTCTTCCTGACTTCAAGTTCAGTGTTCTGCTTTATACATATTATGGCACTTAGCTTCCACATACATGCATACAAATATATATACACAGATACATACATAGGAATTCCAAAGACATGGATTCTATTGGAAGATGTCCTCCTTCTTTCCTGTTACAATGCTCTAGAAATAAAATTACATCCTAATTTTACTAATTCCAGGTAAAAGGTTGTGGGGTTCTTTGGGGCAAGTTGGTCAGTTTAATTCAGCCCTTTGGCTGAATCCAAATTTCACAGAACAAATCCTCTTATTAAGAAGATTTGTAAAACTTGGACTCAGATATGGCCTCGAGACTATAGGTTCCCCACCTGCGGTTCAACCCACAGGTCCAGAGAAATGCCTGATAAAATACAGAAAAATGAACTCTGGAAAATCAGAATGGGAGCTAACCATGGTAACATAAGACACAATTGACAGTTTTTTCAGGGGGAAATATATTCCTTTAAATGTAGAAATTAAAAGATAAAAATATATATGTGAAAAAGGAGGTGGTTCAAAGTCAAAGTGAGCAGGATAGAGGCATAGATTAGAATCTGTTTAGAGGAGTAGCTCTTCAAACTTTTTTAATCATGCACCCCCATCCATAAAAAATTTGTGCATACCTCCCAATTATTTATGTATATTTACTTATTACATACACCTACTAATAATTATATATACCATAAAAATTAAAAAAGGATCAGATAAAGATGAAGTAATATTTGATCCTACAGCCAAAGGGAGCCACGGGAGGTTACTGAGTAGATCAGACCTGAGTTTTAGGAAAATCATTTGACCACTGTGAATCTGTGACCTGGAGGCCACATGTAGCCTTCTAGGTCCTTGGGTGTGGCCTTTTGACTGTGTCCAAGTTTTACAGAACAAATCCTTTTATTAAGGGGATTTGTTCTGTGAAGTTTGGATTCCAGAGATTGCACTTGAGGACCTAGAGGGCCACATGTGGCCTTGAGGCTGCAGGTTCCCCACCCCTGCTAATATTAGAGTGGAGAGGGGTGAGAGGTGGGGTGACTAATAAAGGGGCAATTACAAGTCTAGGTAAGACAATTCCAAAGGACTCAAGCTGAAACATGACATCTACCTTCAGATGGAGAGCTGATGGACTCAAAAGTACAAATCAAAACACATTTCTTTCTTCTTTGACTAATGAAGGAATTTGTTTTGCTTGACTATACAAATTTGTAATGGGTTTTGTTTTTTCTCCATGTGTGGTGGAGTAGGAGGAGGGAGGAAGTTTAGAATTGAAAAAAATAAAATTGAATTTTAAAAATAGTCTATGTGAGAGGTTATGAGGGGCTGAACTATAGCAGTGGCTGTGGAAATGGAGAAAACAAGCCAGAGCTATAGAGGTAGCAATGATAAGATGTGGCAGCTGATAGGATGTGTAGGATGAAGGAGTAAAAAATCAAAGAAAACACCAAGATTATAAAACTGAGGGACTGGATGGTGGTGCCTATATCAATAACAGTGAAGTTACAATTAATTTGTCACCACCCATCCAAGCCTGCTGATCCTTTGCAATTCATCTGGTCTTATCCAAAAGAACAAAGGAGTGGGGTAAAGTAGGGTGGAGATCCTACTTAGTGGTTGCTAATGAGGAAGGTGGGCTAAGTGGGTCTAAGCCACAAGGAGATCTGAGGGGAAAGAGTGATTTTGTGTGTGTGTGTGTGTGTGTGTGTGTGTGTGTGTGTGTGTGTGAATAGTATCTGAATTTTTGAAATGGCACTTATATGGCTAAGGTGCTATGGCAGCAGCACTGATAGAGGTTGGCATCTAACTACACTGAGGGATGTGAAGCCAGGTTCAGAAGTGGGTAGGCTAGTTTATTACTCTGGGTAAGTGAAGAAGTGTTGAGGGTAGGTGTTGTGTTGGAGACTTATTGATTCTGGCAAGGAATGAGGGATGTGACAGGGCCATCTTCTACCCTCTAATTAGAAGTACACAAAGAGTTACTTAGTCATCCATGGCTCCTTTGGGATCATGCCTGGTTCCCCACTATGAAGACCACCAGCCTGGAGGCATGGGCAGGATGACTCCACATTTATTCAGTAAGCATTTATTAAGTCTCCACTACATGCCAGGCACAGTGGATAGAATGAAGACCTGAGTTCATATTCTGCCTCAGACACTTAGCTGTGTGACCATGGGCTTCTCTCAGTCTCAGTTTTCTTATCTATAAAATGGGAATAATAACAGCATCTACCTCACAGGGTTATTGTATCAAATGAGGTAAAATTTGTAAGATGATTTATAAACCAGTTATTATTATTATATGCTGGGGATATAAAGAAAAATGAAATTTTATTTGAAATCAGGATATAAGCTAGAATAGTGTTTCATCTTTTTAGTCTAATGAATATTGGACTAGAAGCCATAATGATGCTTCCATTAATGACTAATTAAATGACATTTAGGCACGTCTTTACCTTCCTTAAGTACCTCTGCTCAAAAATTTGGATTCTTAATCCTTATCATGTCTTTAGTATGTCCTCCTAGGAACTACGTTTCATAGACATAAGGAAATGAATATACAATCTGTAAGAACTTTTTACAACTTGTAAAAGAGAGGGCTTATAGAAGCACAAAGTATTATTGTTTAAGCATTAACAAAGCCTTTATATTGAAAATCTGTGGGTTCTATGTGTTGAGTGTCAAGCATTCTGTTCAACTGCAAATGTTTGGAATATTTATTTGAACTGAACAGCTACTAGGACTCTCTAGGTCATAGGCTCACAGGACTTAGAACTACCAGTGGCCTCAGAGATCACCTAGTTGAACCACCTCATTTTATAGATCATCTCAGAATGACACAAGTTTAATGACTTTATGCTGAATTTGGCTCAAATTTTAATCCTCTCAGCAGGCCCAGGCCTGCTTTCAGCACTGTATTCACTTTTGGAGGTGATCTTACTGCTGCTGGTTCAGGTCCCTATTCCTGTCCTCAACTTTTAATAAAAGCAGGAGCCCTTGCAACAACACTCTGGATTCCAGTTAGGAAATTCTGTTCTTCCACAGTATATTGCAATTAAGCCAATCAGTTGAATGGAGGGAAAGTGGTATTGAGAGGCACTCACCAAACATCTGACTGTATCTCTTCTGGTCTCTGTCTCAGAGGCTCTCTTTCTTCCCATAAGACATAGTTCATGCAAATATTTTTTGCAAGTGGCCAAAGGGCAAAAATTTATTTAGCTGAACTATATGTTTCTGCCAGAAGTTTTGTTTTTCTTTCTTTTTCAAGGTGGGGAGAATGGAGGAGGGGAGAGGGAGAGAAGGTGTTTTGAGAAAAATAAAGATGCAGTGATTTCCCATGTATAACTGATTGCACATTTCTTGCCTTCTCAGTAGGTGGGTGAGGGGCAGGAGGGAGAGGATTCAGAACTCAAAAAAAAAAATGTTAAAATTAAATCAATGATAAATTTATTTTTTAAAAAAAGGTGCAGCTCAGAAACTATCTTCTGAAGGAAGCCTTTCCTGATCCCCTCAATTGCCAGTACCTACCTTCTCATAGTACCTTGTACTCAACTTTGTATATCTATTATGCAAAAGTATTTATGCTTTATTTGATCTTACATGAACTTGTCTCCCTCATTAGATGTAAGCTCATGGCAAGTAGGGATTGTTTCATTCTTTGTACTGGTATTCCCAGGGATTGGCACAGTGACGGGCACACAGTCGGTGTTTAAGAAACTACATACTGATTGACTGCACAAGGGCTAGGCATACAGGCATGCATCCCTTTGCCCACAAATGCCTCAATCTGGAAAACGTCTTGGCAGAATGAATTGAGAAGCAGCAGGGAGCACCATAGCTTTGCAGAGAGGAGTTAGCAAGAGGCCGGAGCTATGGGGACAAGGGAACCACAAAGACTGCCCCCCTCCAATGGAAAGCCAGGGATCATTAATTAGATGGAGAACGGGAAGTGGAGACAGAGAGCAAGGAGGGTAGCGGCTTTCGCTTGGGGGGTGAATGACAGTTCAGGTGGACTGACACACAGAGACACAGACATAGATGTAGACACACACACACAGGTACACACAGATACAGACACACAGACACAGACACACACAAAGAGACACAGACACCCCCCTCCCAAATAGCGGAATCCGCTGCCCCAGAGCCGGGCCGGTCGGGCGCTGTCCACGTCCCAAGTACAAGCCGGCTCTCCCGAAGGACGGCCGCTCAGTCCCACCTCGGGCCGCCGACCCCCCGTCTTGTCACCCACCGCCGGCAGGCCTGGGGTCCGGGCTCCCCGCTCCGGACCTCCCCCCTCGCCCAGGCTCTCAGTTCCCTCCCCTCCACAGAGCCGAAGTCACTCACCGCGTCCAGGGCTCTTCCCGCCGGGCCACCTCCAGCAGCGCGCTCGCCGGGCTCCCGCCCCCCGCCCCAACCCCGGTGCCCCCCCCCTTCCCTTGTCTTCCCCTCCCTCCCTCCCTCCTCCTGTTCTCCGCCGGCCCCGCCCCCGAGACACAGACCCCCCCCCCACGCAGCCCACAGGCGCGGCGGCGGAGGCGGAGGCGAGGCGGCAGCGGCGGCGTCCGAGCGCCGCGTCATCCCCCCGTCCCCCTGTTGGGCGCCGAGCGCGCGCGCGTGCTTCCGTGCGTGCGTGCGCGTGCCTGCGTTCGGGGCGTCCTGGGCAACTGCTCCAGGCTAAGCATCGCTTGGCTTCCTTAGCGACGGACCGGAGTCGAAGGCGTTAGGGGAGGTCCTGGCGGAGGCTCTCCTCGGAGGCCTTGTGAGGCTACGTTTGGAGAAGAGCCAAGTCGACCAACATGGCGAAGGGGAGAGGGAAGCAGAGAGGGAAGAAAGGCAAAGAGAAGAAAGACAAGTAAGGGGGGACCTGCGAGGCCCGCCCCGGGGCTGGGCCCTTCCTGTCTTGGCGATGGGCTGGCGGGCCTGGGGGCGGGGGGGCCTCGTTTTGGTTGTGGCTGTCTCTCCAGTCCCCGCCCTGGGGACCTGGGCGCCCGCTAGAGGTGGGGGCGGGGAGGTGCTGCAGCCTGGCGGAGCCCATCGTTAAATTTTCAGTGAGAGCATTTTACACCTCGAAAATCGACCTATGCTACTAATCATGGCTCGATTCATCGTTGTGTTGTGATAATCATTTAAAATCAATTGAGCCCCAATAAGGGCCAAAAACCTGAATTACTCTTTTCTGAGTGAACTAAAAATGCCTCTTCCAGTGTCGGCAACTACAGAACCGGATGGAATTGACCAGCGTTCTTCCTGGTTGTAATCTCTAAGCACAGGCTACCTGGGACCAGGCACTCTCTTGAATAGTGGGACTTTTCTTATCTTTGTCTCCTAGGGACATATGTAGGACAAACACAGATATCCTGGATCTATAATTGCAATTGACACTTTGACATTCTCCTATTTTGTTGTATTTACAACCTATTCAACCGAGAAGCTTCCTTTCCCGTGCTGTATGTTAAAAAAACGTTTGGCGGCTTTTTTTTTTTTAGTACTACAGACGTCCTTAGCCACGGTTTAAATGTTCTCCAAAAATCGCTTCAGTTAAAGCTCTGATTCCATATACATGCACTGATAACTTAAGGGACTAAAACAATATGAATTTACTTACCACCTAGCTTGTTGTCTCTTTAACCGACTTTCAGGTCGACAGTTGATTGTGTAGACTTAAAAAGGTGATGGAGAAAATGTTCATAATGCAAATTAAACTGTGTGTGGTGCCCATTTTTCTTTTTGGAGGGGAAAGGGTAGAGGTGGTTGTTAAGCATTTATCAGCACACCCCTGTGAAGAGGCAGGAAAGTAGAGGAGGGGTGGTCTGGTAAAGGGAGGCGAACCACAGTTTCTATGTATTCAGAAGCGATTTTTCGTACGATATTGGGCTATGAGGAATTTCAAATCGCAAAATGTTAGGGCTGGAAAAGACTGAGATAAAAGCCCAGCTGCAGGTTTTTTACTTAGGCAGCTAGGTGGTGGTGTTCAGATTCGCAGGTATTCAAGACTCTTGCCTAGTCACTTCCACCTCTCTTTGCCTCGATTTCCTCATCTGTAAAATGAGGATAATAACAGCACCTACCTTAGGAGGTTGTTGTGAGGATCAAATGCGATGATATTTGTAAAGTGGTTTTTAAAAAATTTTTTAGTATTTTTTTTTGTAAAGTGGTTTCCAAATGTTAAAGCACTACAATGCTAGCTGTTATTTTTATCATTAATACAGATGAAGAAGTGACTTGCCTAAGGTCACATAGTTAAATGGGAGAGTTCAGAACCCTAATTTTGAACTGGGAGGACCTTTTGATGCTCAGTCCTGTGAACTTATATACTAGGGTCCTTAACTTTTTTTGGGGGGGAGGGGTGCCATTTTAGCAACCTTGTGAAACCTATAGACTCTTCAAAATAATGTTTCTAAATGCATAATATAAAATACATAAAATTACAAGAGGAAACCAAATGTATTGAAAAAGTTATCAAAATATTAGGAAAAAAAAGCTTCGCACACCCCAGGTTGTGAAACCCTCCTCCTATTATCCAAACTGCGGTGAAGAAGTTCAGATGGTTTTGAATGATTCTAAAACAATTCTTCCGTTTGGACAAGGATTATTTGGCCGTTTGTAGATTGGGTGCTCATTTATGAATCCACAAACTGCTGCTTGTAGGCAATAGTAACATGCATTTGATATGATCCATTAAGGATAGTTTACATTTATATCTCTTTAAGAATTTGTAGAGCACTTTTACCCACATTATCACATTTGGTCCTCACATTGTCATGTGGGGTAGGTGCTATTATAGTCCTCACTTAACATATGAGAGCTCTCAAGGGTAAATGACTTAAGGCCACAGAGCTGGTAAACATATGAAGCAGAATTCAGATAGTTTGAGTGGAGGACTTTATCTACTTTACCATTCTTAGCTTCCCAAACAAGGAGCTTCCAAAAGGCTATTCTTCGTATTGTCATAAAACAGAATTTATTTATTGACAATTTAAAATAAAAACAAATTTCTGCATTGGCCAGATCATATGTGTATCATATTCACATGTATATGAAATATATGATACATGCATATACACACATATATACAGACATACACATATATTATATTATATATATATATATATACACACACACACACACACACACATACATACCTCATTCTATACTCAGTCTTTTACCTCTTTATCAGGAGGTGGGTAATTGTGGTCTGTTATTATTACTCTGATCACAGTTCATAAGTCTTTGAAAGTTGTCTTTAGAATATTGTCACTGTATAAAATTGTTCTGATTCTGTTCATTTTAGTCTGCATCAGTTCATACATATCTTTTCCGATTTCTCTGCAACCATCCCTTTCATCATTTTTTATAGCACATTAGTATTTCCATCACATTTCTATACCATAACTTGTTCTGTCATTCTCTAATTGATGAAAGCCCCCTCAGATTTCGGTTCTTTGCCACCTATCCTTGAATTTGTTTTGCTTAGGACTGGTCCCTCCCTTAATATACTCTTTCTCTAATTCCCCTTTCTTCAGATTCCCTCTTATTTCTCTGTTGAGTAAAATAGATACATAAATGAGTGTGTGTGTGTGTATTCTTTCATCCTTTGACTAGTTGATAGGAGAATGAGGTTCTAGTGTCAGCTGCTTCCCCCATCCCTTCCTTCTTCTTTGTATAGACTTCTACTTGTACATCTTGATTACAGGAGATAATTTTCCCAAGCCTTCCTTTCCTTTATTCTCATAGGGTATTCCTCTTACTGTTCCCCCCTTCCCCTTTCCTTTCTTCATTTAAGATTATCCAGACATAACTGAAACACTATAGGCCTTCTGCCTAATTAGACTTCTATGACCTGTTATGATGTTAGAGTTCAGAGGGTATGTATGTATCATCTCTCCATATTAGAATGCAAACCTTTCATCCTCATTTGGTTCCTTACAATTGATCATTTATGTTTTTCTTAACTCTTGTGTTTTGATTGCAAAGTTTCTGCACAGCTCTGTTTTTTTCTCAGAAATGCTTGAAAATTCTCTGTTTCATTAAAGGTTCCCTCCCCCCCTTTTTTGGCCTATGACATTATATTCAGTTTCGCAGGATAAGTTATTCTTGGCTGGAAACCTATATTCTTGCCTTCTGTAATATCATATTCTAAGCTATCTGCACCTTTATGATGGTGGCTGCTAAATTTTGTGTGATTCTAACTGTGGCTTCTCAGTATTTGAATTCTTTCTTTATGACTGCTTGAAGTATTTTTTTCTTTGACCTGAAGGCTCTAGATCTATCTTGACTGTGGTGTTCTGGGAATTTTCATTTGGAGGTTTCTTTCAGGAGGTGACTGGTGGATTTTTCTCCCCGCTTTGCCCTCTAGTTATAAGAGGTCTTTGCAGTTTTCCTTTACGTTTTCTTGAAATATGTCCAGCCTTTTTTTTTTTTGGTCATGGCTTTTAAGTACTGCCGTAATTCTTGGATGTTTTTTCCTCTTTGATCAGTTTTCCAGGTCATTTGTTTTTACTATGCATCTCCTTAAGTTTTCTTCCATTGTTTTCAGCCCTTTGACTTTGTTTTATTATATCTTAATGTCTCATGGAATCATTGTCTTCTCTTTGGTGCATTTGAATTTTCAGAGAGTTTGTTGTTGCTTGGTCAAGGCTTTGTACCTCTTGTGCCAAGCTGTTAATTCCCTTTCCAAGTCTTTCTTGCCTAGCTCTCATGTCTTTTTTTTTCCTCTAGTGCTCTCATTTCATTGATAAAAACATTTTAAACTTTTTATTTTATTAATTTATTTTGATTTATCAACAATCACTTCCATATTCTTTTGAGTTAAAATTTTTCTCCCCTTCCTCCCCCCCACCCTCCCCAAGATGGCACACAATCTGATATAGGCTTTACATTTACATTCCTATTAAACATATTTTCACACTAGTGAAGTTGTAAGTAAAAATTAAAACCAATAGAAGGAACCATCAGAAAGATGAAACAAAACTCAACAGAAGGTAAAAATATTAACTTTTTATTTTAAACTCTCCATTTCTTTCATAACTTCTAGTTGAATTTGTTCCTAAGCTGTGCTTTTCCTTAAGGCAATGTTTGTAGATGTTTTAGTCATTCTCTTCTGGCTTTGTATCTTGAGTATCCCTATTGTCATAACAGCTTTTTGTGGTAGCATTTTTCTTCATTTATTTATTTTTGCTCATTCTTCCAGTCTTCTTTCTGCTTTCAGATTTGATGTTAGGGCCAGACTCTGTACGCTTCTGGAGGGAAGGATTGGGCTGGTCTTGTTGCTGTTTTCTTGAGTGTTGTGTTATTCTAGACCCTCAGGGACAGCTGAGGTTGAGAGCTTGGTCTGATTGAGAACAAAGTCTGATTCTACACCCCAACTTCCCACACTGCTCCTCTTCCCCACCCCCAGGTTCTGCAAATTCTCGACCTGGGTTTAGGTCAGAGCAACAGTGGGCTGCTGCTTTGCTCTTTGCTGGGTGTGGAATCTTTCATACATCAATCAATAAGCCTTGTGCCAAGCATTATCTGGGGACACAAAGACAAAAAGGACACAGTCTCTACCCTTAACAAGCTTCTATTCTATCTGGATGACAGTAATAAGTATAGACAAGAGATATGCAATGCATAACACATAAGTAAGTATATACAAGATATATATGAAATAAATGTCAGCTTTTAGAAGAAGGGCAGTAGTAGCTGGAATATTCAGAAACAGCTTCACGTAGATTACTGTAGAAGGTCTCTCTTGAGCAGCGTTTTGAAGGAAATGAGGAAGTATGAGGGATGGAGTTTTTATATAGGAGAGCATTTCAGGCATGGGGAAAGAGACCAACGCAAAGGCTTGGGAACAGATGGAGAAGCGTCACCTGTGCGAAGCAGCAAGAGGGCTGCTTCAGCTAGGGTGTGCAGTTTGGGAATGGAAGTAATGTATATAATACAGTTGGTAGGAGCCCAGTCGTGAACGGCTTTAAAAGACAAACTGAGGAACTTATAGGGAACCATTGGAATTAATTGACTACAGAAATAACATGGTCAGACCTGAGTGATTTGAGGCGGGGAGACTGTTTTGTTGCTCAGTCCTTCAGTCACATCCCGCTCTTTGTGAACCTGTGGACTGTAGCACACCAGGCCTTTCTGTCCTCCACTGTCCCTCAAAGTCGGTCCAAGTTAATGTTCATTATTTCCATGACACTATCCATCTCATCCTCAGCCGTCCCCTTTTCCTTTTACCTTCAGTCTTTCCCAACATCTAGGTGTTTCCCAATGAGTTCCATCTTCTCATAATGTGGCCAAAGTATTCAAGCTTCCGCTTTAGTATTTGACCTTCTAAGTGAATAGCCTGAATTAATTTCTTGTAAGTATTGACTGATGTGACCGTAAGAACTACTATGGCAGTAGTTCAGTCTTGAAGAGATGATGACTTGAACTAGTTTAATAGCCAAATGACGAGAGTAGTTGGGTGGATATGAGAGGTAATACGGAGGTAGAAATGACAGGATTTGGCAACTGATTGGATGATAGGGTAGGAGTGAAGAGTCAAGGATGACATTGAAATTGTGAACCTGTATGACTGGAAAGATAGTAGTGTTCTGCCTAGAAATAAAAAGGGGGGTGGTTGTATGATGAGTTCTGTTTTGGACATACTGAGTTTGAGATGCTTATGGGATATTCCATTTGAGATATTGCATAGGCAGTTGGAGATGTTGGATTGGAATTCAAATTATAAGAAAATTAGGTAGTTCCTGGAAATAAAGGCAGGAGTCTTAATGATAATAACAACTAGTATTTATGTAGCACTTTAAGATTTTCAAAGGTCTTTACATGTTATCACATTTGATCCTCAAAGCAACTTTGGGAAGTAGGTACGTAGCACTTTAAGATTTTCAAAGGTCTTTACATGTTATCACATTTGATCCTCAAAGCAACTTTGGGAAGTAGGTACTATTATTATCCCCATTTTACAGGGGAAGAAATCTTCCTGACTACAAGTCTGATACCCTAGGTACTACACCACTGAACAGCCTTCAAGGAAGGGAGGCAAATTTATCAAATATTGTAGCTATGTAAATAACTCACAAGACATGGGGACTAAATAAAGGCTTTGCTAATTAGTCTTAGTAGGTCACCTTCAAGAGAGCAATTTCAGTTACATGATGGGGTAGAAATAAGGGATTGAAGCATAGCCCCTCTCACAAGCTTACAGAGATGAATGAGATAATTCTCTGGAGAGAAAGAGCTGACAAATCATGTTAGTTTTGGGATGAGAGAGTACAAGATCTCGCAGCTGAGTAAAGTTTGGAGGCACTGAGATGGGCAGAGACTGAGACCAGATGTCTACCACAGACAGATGAGATACCTGAAACCAGAGAGTAGCGCCCAGAGAACAGTTAGTAGACATGTTCCCCATGGGCTGGGAAGGCTGGCAATTGAGGATGTCTTTCTGTTGAGATGGAGATCCCCCCCCCCCGGAGTTTTCTGCTTCCTTTTTACAACTCTTTCATTCTGTCAGGTTCTGATTTGTTTAGATAGTCTGTTCTCCACTGTTTTGCTATGTATGACTGTAAATGATGTCTAAGTATGATAAAGACTTGAGCATGGGATAGGGGAGGAGATAATTTTGTAAAAGTTTTTTTTTTAAAGGTCATAGTTATAAGTGTCTGAAGTTGGCTTTGGACCCAGGCCTTTCTGACTCCAGGCCCAGTGTGCCACCTAGCTGCTCCAAATAATAAAAACATTATTCTGGGAAGAGGCCCGTGGATTTCACCAGATTGCCAGAGATTCGTAACAGTTAAGAAGCTTAAGAATTCCTGGCTTAGGATGAATTTGTAGTAGAATCAGCTGGCCCATTTGTTTCTTACTTTCCCCCTGAAATCCTGAATTGGGATTGTAGAAAGTAGTTACAGGGGCTTGTGCAGGGTAATGAATTAGTAAGATGGAAAAGATGACAGATGAAGGGGTCAAGGGATTCTAGGGTGTACAAGGGAATCAGTGAGATGGCTGACTAGGTGTTAGGACATGAGAGGGTAGAGGGACCAGGGGCTTTCTCTTTTAATTTCTTCCTTTTAGAAATAAACCTCTTACTTGTTTCTTTAATTTTACTCTTTCTGTGAATACATGCTGTTTTTAGACATTTTCCAAGTCCAATGACTTAATGAACAATTATATTGAAATAGTTATAAAAATATTTTTAAAAGTAAGTTCACAGACTCCAGGTTAACACCTCTTCCTTGTTAGGCCATCTCTGCTGTCTCCTACAACTACCATGCTCCATAATTTTCCCTCTGTAGTTCCAGTAGTTCCTGTAGAGTGCTGCTCTCTGCCTTACTCCACTCCTACCAGTTAGAAGGGGGTAGAGTTGGGGCAGCTAGGTGACGTAGTGGATAAGAGCTCTGGCCTTGGAGTCAGGAGGACCAGAGTTCAAATCCAGCCTCAGACTAGATACTCACTAGCTCTGTGACCCTGGGCAAGTCACTTAATCCCAATTGCCTCACCAAAAAAAAAAAAAGGTGGGGGTTAGAGCCAAAAAACATCAGACCGCATTATTTCTGAATCTTGGGTCATCTAGGGAACGTTTAAGCTTTTTGATACTTAACCTAGGTGTTAGTGGATTATACTTGCCAAGTGAGATTTTTTAAAAAAACTATGCCCTAGAGAGGAAAATATACTAATTATGAATATACTATTCTCATTCAGGAAGCTGACAAAAAGGGAAGAAATAGAAGTAGAGAGAGCCAAGGCTAATGCTGCCCTTTGGGAAGCCAGATTGGAAGTCTCAGAAATATCGCGGGATGGATATCGTGAGGCAGTTCGGAGACTGGCACTATGTAATGAGGACTTGAAGAGACAGCAGTACAAAATGGAGAAAGATACAATGGCTGTATTAAGCTACATAAAGAAGCAAGACTTGGAAAAAGATCTTTTGGTATGTAGAAAAGCTCTTGAATCTTATTTTACTGAATATATGAGCCCCAGTTGGACACAGTGAACCGGACTCTAGCATAGTGATGTCATTTTGGTCCTCTTCGAGGACAAAGGACAACCACTAACCACCACTATGAATATACACAGTAGTTTAAAGAGCTCTTCTCAGGATATATAAACACAACTTAAATGCCATCTGCTGGAGAGCCCTGACCTCCTCAATTCTTAGGGCTTTTCTTCCTTCTTCTCCAGTATGCTATAAGTACTTATTTGATATTTTACAGTGACAGTTATGAAATTTTTCAGTTTTTAATGTAATTTTGCCTGAATCTGTCAGTACATTAGCCGTTCTTCACTCTACTCTGGCTGGCAAAATTGATAAATCCTTTAAAATACTTCATTTAGCAATATGAAATACAAATTTGGGTCCTGTAATTCTTACTTTTTGTTTACATAATTTGTGAGTATATGTTTATGTTTTGCAAAAGTTAGAGTAAAAGCTCTAAAATCAAGAACCAGGTCTCAGTTTCACACTTTTGAGGGCATCTTTTAGTGTTTTGGGGAAAGATCCAAAATCCTAAAAACACCTTGAAAATGTGGGGATAAATATTAAGCTAACACTGTTGTTGAATGTTTGCCCTTTTTTTGTGCCTGAGTGCTGCAGTTCCCATCTTTAGTAAAGTCAATCTATTATAAAAACATTAGTAGAAGTAAAGAAGTTAGGAGAATTACAAACCTGAGATTAAATATTGTCAAATTATTTATTTAGTTAGCAACCACAATGTGCTAGTAACCATATAGGACACCTTCAAAGATCACAGAACTTGTACTGTTTAATTCTAAAGTGACATTTTAGATCAGACATACAATAATTTCTAAAGTTCTTGCAAACCTTTATTTGTATATATTTACCGATAATAATTGGGTATTAGTTTATACCTATCAGTCCCAGCCATATTCCCATTTTCTTTTCTTTATCGATAGCCTTAGAAATATAAACATCTTTAGCTAGCAGTTGTACCGACTTTTCCTACATAGATTTCCATAAATACAGAAGAAACAAAGACTAGAAAGAAAAAGCACAATATAGTGTGTTGAATTCATCAGTGATTATTGGTGGTTCCGTTATATCCTAGAAATGTCTTTTAAATAGTACTGAGAAAATGATAAGATTTTGCCCAAAAGTTAGCTTCTAAGAGTTAGATACAAACTATGAGAACAAAGAGATGTAGCTTCCTTAGGTGTAGGGGAAAAAAAAGCCACTAAACTAAATATTTCTGTAACCCTTGAGTGTATCACTGTATTACCATGTAGTAAAATATAAAACAGTGTTCTTAATGATAACTGAATCATCAGGAAAGGTGAGGTTTTTTTTAAAAAAATTTTTCCAGTTAGCTCTTGCAATATTTGTTATTTTTTGGTTTTGGTTGTTTGGTGGATATGGGCAGCCTCAGAGTTGCTTTAATTTGAATTTCTCTGATTATTAGTGATTTGGAATTTTTTTTTAATATCACTGGTAAAAAGCTTGGATATCTGCCTTTGAGTACTACCTTTTTGTATCTTTTGACCATTTGTCAATTGAGAAAATGGCTCTTGTTCTTATAAATTTGAATCAATTCCTTGTATATCTTGGACATGAGACTTTTATCAGAGAAACTTGCCTACTAAAATGGTCCCTTTTTCAAATACGTATCTTTGGAAGACTAGATTTTCGTTATATACTTCAACCAAAACAAGATAATGCAATAGATTGAATGTAGCAGCAGATGTGAGAATCCAGTTGGCTTCTTTTAAGTCAGACTTTTTTTGGTCCTCTTCTAGTGACTTAGTGGCTTTAATTGCACTTGAAGATTAGGCTATTTAGTAGGGATGCAGTATAGAACATTGTCTTCATTTTCATAATTCTCCATTTCTATTTTAATACAGATTGAACAACTGAAACAACAGATATTAGATGCAAATGACAAATCCAAGATTGACAGGGAAATTCTGGTGAGTAGTTTGTACTCAGTGACCCAGTTTCTGTAGTAGTGATGTTTCTGATAGTCTCCATAGTCCAGAGCACAGTTGAGATCCTGAAATAGTAAAAGAAAAAAACCAAAAAAAACCCCAAAGGGGACATAAAACAACCCAAATAGTTGTCACAAAGGCTATGCATTAAGTCAAATTCATGTATTTTGTGCATTCGGAAAGCCGTCATTTAGCGAGGCAGTGTATATCAGTGGAAAGAATGCTGACTTTGGATAAAAGGGTTTACTTCGAAATCCATGCTCTTCTACTTTCTATCTGTGTGACTTCAGCAAAGTCCTTTAATCTCTTGGGGCCTTGGTTTCCTAATCTGTAAAATGAGAACATTGGGCTAGATGACCTCCACAATCCCATCTCTAAGTCTAGGGTCCTGTGACTCTTATTCTACTTTGTTCATTCATTTCAGTCATGTCTGACTCTTTGTGACCCCATTGGGGTTTTCTTAGCAAAGATACTGGAGTGGTTTGCTGTTTCCTTCTCCAGCTCTTTTGACATATGAGGAAACTGAGGCAAACAGGGTTAATTGACTTGCCCAGGGTCACATAGCTAGGAAGTATCTGAGGCCAGATTTGAACTCATAAAAAAATCAAGATGAGTCTTCTGATTTCAAGCCCAGTGCCCTATCCACAATGCCACCTATCTGTGCCTTCTTATTCTACAGGGACTTCTAATAAAGTTTGTCTTGTTTGTGACCCTGTAACAGATAAGAATTTAAAAAGTAGGAGATTAAGAGTATGCTGAAGAAGTAAAAAATAAACAAGTAGCAGCTAGAAACAAAATAAAAAAATAAATAGACATGAACTAGCAAAGAAACATGCATTCTTAAGAATGGAAAAAAAATAACCCTAAATATTTCTGTAGCCGTTGAGTGTATCACTTTATTGCTGTATAGTAAAATATAAAGTAATATGCATAATGATAATTGAATATATAAGCTGCAAATCAGAATCTAAGTATTATGTAGGTCTCAAAGACCTACATAATAGGACTGTAAATTGATTATTAGTACTTTCCCATTTTTTACCATCCCACTCCTCTTCTAATTGTTTTTGTCAGCATTAGAATTTCTGTCAGTATAGAAATAGTGCTTGTGGGCCTTAACCAGTAAGACTACATCTAAACATGGAGAGCTTACTGATTAGCTTGGTGTATATATTAGTGTGGTGTATATTAGCTTGCCTGTCTATACACCTAATAAATACTATAAGAACCAATATAGGTTGATTCCTTCACTACTGATTGTTTCCATAATATACTCCTTTTACTGGATAGCTTCCACTGTATGCTCAATGCAATCATTCCTGTTCTCAGATACTGACTATCAGTAGCTAATTATTTCCTTTATACCTCTCACCTCTGTCCTCAGTAATCTCAGCACTTCCTCAGAAGAAGATTAATGATCCTTGATGCATAATATGCACTGATTAACAAGACAAGTATTCTAAAATAAAATAAAATAAAACATTTTAGAAAAATTTCCAAGGAAAACAGTTAAAAATTTAAAAAATATCAGTGCGTATAGAAGCAAACTTTATTTGTCTAGAAAAATCACTGATGTGGAAGCACCATCTCAATCAGTACCCGCAATTAAGTATGATTTTTAAAAAAAATTATACTTTGCCTAATCAAAAAGAGGCAAACATGCCGTATGATAAAACAAACTAATATCAGAGATGTAGTTGAAAAATTTCAAAATTATAATGAAAAACCCCAAAGATTTCTTCAGTATATTCTAAATTTAGTATAGATTCAATCCAATCTCCTACCAATCTACATTAATAATCCTATATGAGTATCTGTTATATTAATAATAACTGTATGAGAATATGATCATTAGGAAAAGATTGACTCTGCTATACTTAATAAGACACAAAAATATGTTTTACTTTAACTTAGTCAAACATTAAGTACCTACACAGTACAGAACTTGGCTAAACTCTGAGGGAGACCAAAAAATTAAATAAGACAATATATGCTACCCTCATAGAGCTTAAAATTTAGTAGAAAAGATTTTTAGTGCAAAGGCCAAAACAGAAGAGGCTTTCCGTTTAACTCTCAGTTAACCAGAAAATTAGCTAGAAGCATATTTTCTATCTAATTAGTTATAAATCTTGATAGATATTCTCTCCTGACATTCAATCTCTATCCTCTTAGCAACCTCCAACCCTAGGTTTAGCTCTTTTTCAGGTATAAAAATTACCTCATGTACCATATTTTAGAAGTTCTTATTACACTGAGCTTCAGTAAAACTGATCTTTCTTAATACTAAACACTAACACTTTACATTAATTTTCTCTTAATTTCTTATTTATAGCAAGAACACTACTCTGTAAAAATTAATGAGTTGGAGGGGCAATACAATCAAAAAACTAAAGAAATTGGCTTAATTCAGATAGAACTGAAAACAATAAGGCAGTTTCAAAGGAGGAAAACTCAAATAGAAAGAGAATTAGAAGAGGTAAGATTTCCTTTTTAAAATCGTAATCATGTTTTTGTCATTATTTTAAAAGTTTGATTGTATAAGGGGACAAATAACTGATTTTGTCAACTTAGAGGGTATCAAATTGAGAGAAAGAGAAGAATCAACTGAATTATCATTCACCAAGCATTTATCAAGCACCTACCATGTGCTAAGGATTGTGCTAGGTCTTAGAGACCTAAAGACAAAAATGAGAGTGTCTTTGTTTCTACATAGAACTTAGTGCTGGATGGAAAAGCTCTTGCTTTTGCACAGATTGATAGGCCATGGTATTCTATAGTAACTAATATAATTTGTAAAAAAAATTAAAGTATATACCTTTCCATATATCTGTAAATCATAGTCATGGTTTGATCTTAGTCAGAAATTGATAGACCATTGCCTTGCACAATTCTTGAAAATTTCATAGAAGAGGCTGTTTCTGAGGAGGGGCTGGTGGCACACCCCTGTCATCCCAGCAGCCAGAGAGCCAAAGATTTCTGCAGTACATTCTAAATTTAGTGTAGATTCAATCCAGTCTTGGTGGATCTTGAACACTAGAGTGGTGAGAGGTAATGGACTGTACTGATAGAGTGTCCGCTTTCAGTTTGGCATTAATAGGGTTAGTCCCCAGGATGTTGGGGGTGGAGAATCAGGTTGTCAAAGGAGGAAAGAACCAGCGCAGGTGGGAAATAGAGGTGGTCAAAACTCTGGTGCTGATCAGTTGTGAGGTGGGACCTGTGGGTAGGGAGACTGGTTTTTGTTTTTGTTTTTTTGTAATTTTTAAAAATTTTAAACTTAAATACAAAATGAGAAAAAAAAACATTGCCATGTACACAGCAGACCATAAGAGAGGATTCAATGTAAAACAATAAATTTCCATTTCAAGAAAACCTACATAATAAATACTATACGTTGTTTTCAAAGCTGCCCAGTTTTTCTTTGCTTCCTTATTGGTTTTCTTTTGTTCTCTGCTGTGCACTTTTTACTTTATTTTTTTCCACCTTCTTTCCTCTTCTACCCTAAAGAAGGCTACAATTAAGCAAGGATATATACATATACATAGATATCTATAAACATGCACATATATATATACATATACACTCATACAACATATATGTAAGAGTACTATGTTTATTTCCACCTGTCATCTGTTTCTCTGAAGGTGGATAGCATCTTCCTTCATAGGTCCAAGTCTTTCAATGTTTTTCTGATGCAGAAATATTCCAACCCAATCACATCCTATCTGAGAGATTGTCTATGAAAGTTTTTTCCCAATTTTCTGCATTTCTTCTATTCTTGGCTGCATAGGTTTTATTTATACAAGAAAATTTTAATTTAAAATAATTGAAATTACCCTTTTTGTACTTCAGCAATGCTCTCCCTTATAATATAGTTTGAGGTCTGAGATTGCTGAATCTACTTCCTTTATATTTTTTTTCCTTTTTTTTTTAAGTTCCTGACCTTTTGCTCTTCCAAATGAACTTTGTTATTATTTTTTCTAACTCAGAAAAATAATTTTTACTAATTTAATTGGAATGACATTGAATAAATAGTTTAATTAGGTAAAATGATGATTTAAAAATTATATTGGCTAGAACAATAAATTGAACAATAAGTATTACTTCAGTTATTTAGATCTGAGTTTATTTGTATAAAAAGTGTTTTATGTTTATGTTCATATAGTTCCTGTGTTTGTTTTGGCAGGGATTTACTCAGATATATTTTATACTGTTTAGGTATTTTAAATGGTCTAAAACAATGTTGAATAATATTGCCAACACAGTATAGTTTCTCTATTTTTCACTGTTTTTTTGTTTTTGTTAGGCAATAGGATTAAGTGACTTGCCCAGGGTCACACAGCTAGTAAGTGTTATGTGTCTGAGGTCAGATTTGAACAGAGATCCTCTTGACCCCAAAGCCAGAGCTCTATCCATTGCTCTACCTAGCTGCCCCTGTTTTTGACTTTTGATTAACTTTGTCTGAGATCATGATTAATATCCATCATTTTTTTACATAATAAATTCTACTTCTGCCCTTTATTTTATCTTTTTTATCTCTCATTTTTATGTTTCCTGAAAGCAACATAGTGTTGAATTCAAACTTTTAATCTGCTATCCATTTCCATTTTATGGGTAAATTTGTCCCACTCACATTCTAAGCTACAATTACTTTTTTTTTTTTTTGGTGAGGCAGTCAGGGTTAAGTAACTTGCCCAGTGTCACACAGCTGGTAAGTGTCCTGTGTCTGAGGCTGGATTTGAACTCAGCTCCTCCTGACTCCAAGGCCGAAGTTTATCCACTATGCCACCTGGCTGCCCCTAAGCTACAATTACTTGCTCTTTTGTTTCTGTCTGAATTTAGAAGACTTTTATACCCTTTTAGATAGTATGAGTGTATGTGTATGTATGTATGTATGTATATATAATACACATATAATATATATGCACATGTATGTACATATGCATATGTATAACATATATAATATATAATTTCTCTCTTTAACCCATTCCCGGTGACAGTAAGGTTACAGCACTACCCACTCTCCCTACTACCAGCTTCTTCTGTATCAATTTTTCCTTTTGTGCTTCATTTATATAATTACTCCTTTTTATCTCTCTCTACAGTTTTATTTTTTTAGAATTACCTGACCCATACTCAGCTCATTCCAAGCCTTTCTTTCAAACTATGCAAATCATGATGACAATCATAAGAGTACTGCTAATATTTTCACGTGTATGAAGTAAACAGTTTGACCTCATTGAGTCCCTTATAATTGGTCTTCAATGGTTACCTTATATTTCTCCTAGATGTTATATGTTGAATTTTCCCTTAAATTCTGGGGTTTTTGTCACAAAAAAACCTGAAAGTCTTTCATTTCATTAAATGTCCATTTTTTTTTCCCTTCAAGATTATATTTAACTTTGTTGGGTAAATTGCCTGTGGCCATAGCCCTAGCTCTTTTGCTCTACAGAATATAATATTTCAAGACCTACAGTCCTTCAACATAGTAGCTAATAGGTCTTGTGTAATTCTTATTGTAGCTCTATAATATTAAATTTTTTTTTTCTTGTTGCTTCCAATATTTTCTCCTTAACCTGCTTGGCTATGATATTCCTGTAAGTTTTCCTCCTGGGATCTCTTTTAGGTGGTGATCAGTAGATTTTTTTCTATTTCTACTTTAAGGTCTTCTCATTTTAGAACATCGGGGCAATTTTCCTTGATAATTTATTGTTAATACTGTATCAAGATTCTTTTTTTAATCACAATTTTCAGGTAGTCTGACTATTCTTGTATTATTTCTCCTCCATCTGTTCTCCAGAGCAATTGTTTTTCTGATGAGATGTTTAACTTTCTCTTCTTTTTTATCATTCTCTTGATTTTTCTTCATGATTTCTTGGTGTCTTAGAATGTCATTAGCTTCCCCTTGCCCAATTCTAGTTTTCAAGGAAATATTTTCTTAAGTTTTTGATGCTCCATATCAAATTGGTTGACTTCCTTTCCATAATTTTCTTGATTTTCTTGGATTGCTCTTATTTTTTCTCTATTTTTTTTCAGTCTCTTTTATGTGCTTTTTAAAGTCCTTTTAAAGGGGGCAGTGAGGTGGTGCAGTGGATAGAGCACTGGATAGAGCACTGGCCCTGAAGTCAGGAAGACCTGAGTTCAAATCCGGCCTTCTACCAAGCACTTGACACTAGCTGTGTGATCCTGGGCAAGTCATTTAACCCCAAATTGCCTAAAAAAACACAAAACAAACCAAAAAAAAGTCCTTTTAAAGAACTCTTTTTGTTCTTGTCACCGTTTGAAGTATCTCATTGAAAAAGGAGTGACTTTTTAAGCTCCATTATCTTCCTCTGAACGTGAACTCAGGGCTTCTCCATCCCCATAGCAACCATGTATGGTTGGGTTCCTTCTCCTTTGCTTACTCATTTCCATTTACTTATTTTTTGTTTTATTTTGTTTTTAGCAGCTATTAGTGTAATCAATTTGCAGTCCTAAGGTATGGGGAATGATGCCCCAAGTCCCAGGTCTCCCCTACTATTATTTTCTGAGGTCTGTCTTGGGGCCCAACCCTGGGCTCTCCTCTCTACTCCCAAGCCACAGGCAAGGCCCCCAGCCACACTGCCCCACAAATGATCTTGTTTCCTGTGGCCCCTCCAGTGGCTACAAACCACAGCTGTCCGCTCTGCCTCAGGACTGAAACCAGGGACTCTGCTTTCCTGCAAGTGCCCACAGTCAGCAGGGTCCCTGCCCCTCGCTAATGCTCCCACCAGGCATGTGCTAGCTCCCCCTTCCTCCAGCCAATCTGGGACGTATTGGGTCAGCAGTTGGTTGGTGGTTGGGTTAGCGCAGCTGTGCTTGGTGTCCCTTGACAGTGGAAGGTGGCTCAATCTTCTCCCACTCAGTCTTCAGACCCCTCCCCCCCAATACTCTGTCTGCAAAATGAAAGTTCCTAAGGCTGAGGCGCGGCTCAACCCAGTTGCCCCTAGGGCTTGTTGTTTGTTGATTCTGCAGAGTCAGCCTGGAGGTGTTTGCCCTTCACTCAGGCCTCACCTTAGCCATTAGAGCTCAGGTCTTTCCTGGGGTTTTCTCAAGTTGTCTTAGGAGGACAACTCCTTTACCCTGTGTTTATTTCTCCTGCTCTGAGGTGATGTAATATCTTTTTTTTTTTTTTGTGGAGGAAATTTGGAGAGCCAAAAGTTTTCTGACCTACTCTGCCATCTTCCCAGAATTCTCTTTTGGGGAGACCTGTTCTTAAACAAGAAAAGGTCACTTCTATTAAAGACAGCCTTAAAAGATTCTATGAATTGGGGTGGTGGGAATGAGAAAGAGCTCCCCTGAAAAAGACTTCCTTGAACACCACACCCTCACTGTAGTCATCATTACTTTATCTTTCATACTCTTATGTCAACCCCTTTCCTAGATCTTAGTTCTGCCCTCTAGATCAAGTCAGATAAGTTAAATCCTCTTTCGTATAATAGTTCTTCACAGATTTGAAGA